AAGGTTCCGTGAAAACGTTTCAGCTTTTATTTTCCTTTTTCGCCCTGAAGAAGATATCACAGGTTCATCAAGTTCGTCAAAATTATCCATCCTCGATCACGTTTAGTCAGCTTTGATGAAACTCCTCTCAGCTAGCACGTCTTTTCAAAGTGAAAGTAGCCTTGTCACAACAAGAGCGCTTGTCGGCTTCTTCAGTAAAACATGAACTTGCGATGCCTTGAAAGTGGAAAGAACCAGCTTTTTTGACAAAACGTGTTTAGGGTTCAGATCGCGCTATATGTGGAGAATAATGCATGGCAATCAGCTCTTTTTTTTTTTTAAGTGCAAAGTCCATTTTTAGTGCCTTATTGTTTCATTTGATTTATACCGGATTAATTTTTGTCTATGTGCAGATAAGTTGACGGATCCCTTCCTAAATCAGATTTATAGCAGTCTTATACTCAAAGTGGTTAAAGCAGCTATATGAGTTTGGGTGAGTGTGTGGAATGGGATTCATCTGCTGGTATGATTGGTTTATTTGGGAGTTAATTGTTTAGGCCACTAAAAGCAACATTAAGACACTTCAAATACAGTAAGAGTTATTTGTTGTTTAATTTAATTTACCATTGGCCATTTCCACATACTCTGAGACTTTGAAATCTCTAGAGCGTGTAAAGCATTCAAATAAAACTATGTCTAAAAAGAGTTGTATTGTAATTTCCTAATGCTAACAATTAGGTTGGGCCTTAGATTTGATTAAATTTAATCTTGCCCTCCAAGCTTGTGCCAGCGTGACTCATTAAGTGTCTGGTTTAAAAGGCCAGGAGAGACCAATCTATTCTGAGGCTGAATTTAGCCAGTGGCGAAGGTCTCTCACTTCTTTTTATCCAATTAATTTCTCCGCTGGCACAATCATCAAGCAATTCCAGTTTTCAAGGACGGAAAACCATCTGCAATAGGTTACAGATCAAAGTGAATCTTTCCTCTATCGATCTGAGAACCGTCAGTAGATTAACAGGGCTTGATTGAAGTGAGTTCTGTCCTAAATCAGCTCTGTAAACGTGCAGACGTAATATACTTGGCATGTGTCTCTTCTCATTATTGATCTGTACGCTGATGTTCGATCCCTGTAAACTGTACCGGTCCACACAGAAGATCGGTGTTGCCCACTGGACTCCAAACGGATCCTGGATGGGAAGCGATTGAGCCACCTCTGCTGTCCTTTTAAGAGATATTTTTAGGTCTTTTTATTTTTTAGATAATGGCTTTAGTGGGAAAAAGACGTATTGATTTATGTTTGATGAATTTAGGTAAATTTGGCCACTTTCGGCATTGAGATGATAGTCAAAAAGGGGCCCAATTTACCTCAAATCTATCTATCTATCTATCTATCTATCATTTTATCTATCTATCGTTCTATCCTATCGTTCTATCGTTCTGTCTTTCCTATCTATCTATCTATCTATCTATCTATCTATCGATCTATCGTTCTATCTATAGTTATATCGTTCTATCTATAGTTATATCGTTCTATCTATCGTTCTATCGTTCTGTCTTTCCTATCTATCTATCGATCTATCTATCGTTCTATCGATCTATCTATCGTTCTATCATTCTATCTATAGTTCTATCATTCTATCTATAGTTCTATCATTCTATCTATAGTTCTATCGTTCTATCTATCGTTCTATCGTTCTGTCTTTCCTATCTATCTATCTATCGTTCTGTCTATCGTTCTGTCTATCGTTCTGTCTATCGTTCTGTCTATTGTTCTATCTATCTATCCTTCTATCTATCATTCTATCTGTCTACTGTTCTGTCTATCTATCCATTGTTCTATCGATTTATCTTTCTGTTGTTCTGTATTCTTCTGTATTAATTTAATCAAATTTCAATTTAGTTACAAATTGCAATGTCAATTTATTTTAATTATACTTCCTTACAGTCAAATTCAAATTACACATTTTGTTTGTTACCTCAGTTCAGTAAATGCTTTTGATCTAAAATGCAACAAACCCAGTATGGGTTAGTCTGTAATTATTATAATTAGACTTATTTGGCAACAGTAGGCATGTATGTTATGTCCACATTCAGATAGCAAGTGTGTAATTGTGCTCTAAATCAAACTCTCCACTGATGTCTTTTGTTCAGTAAAGGTTTCCAGTTAAACTCTTCTTAGATTGATGGTGCGGCTGAGCTGCTTTTCCCCAGCTGTTATGAAAGAAGCTGTGTAATGCAGTTAGCACCTCCTTTCCTTGTTTATTCCATTTCAGCCTTTATTTCACATTACATAACCCAGCCTCTAGACAAATCATCCAATATCACACACATTTATTGTGCCTGCTAATGAAGCTTTTTTCCTGTTTGCAGTGCAACTTGACACTATAAACCGCTCGCCGTGTGAAAGCAGCTGCTTGCTTACTTCTCTGTTTCTTCTACTTTCCTCGGCTTCTTTTGCTCAGTGGAGCCGAGAGCTTGTTGTCTTTCCTTCTGAAGGCTCTAGACGAGCGGTCCAGGTACATACACACACCCCCACTGTGTATGTTTGTGCTCACGACGTTAGTGAACTTTCCCTTCGACCCCTGACCTTTCTGTTCTCCTCACTGAGTGTAAATGTCTAGTTGAAATTCTCCCTGCTGTGCTGCAGCGACCCTCCTCTCCTCGCTCACCTCGACACTTTCTGTCAGACTCAGACATAGCCTGTAGTGCTCGTATCAACAGTTGCTCATAGACACATACACCAGTAAAGGCCAATGGGTCACCAAGTGTGTTAAAACTGCGGCGCTAGTGCCAGACAGCTGTGATGACATTGTCCAGCGCCTGCGGGCTTTGAGTTAGTTTTAATACGTCCTCTTCACTATTGCACTTGTTTGGATTTTCGCTGCATTGCTGAGTTGTTATTTTTATCCAAGACGAAATACGTAAAAGACGGCACACATCTTAATGTGACCTTTTCACAATATTAATTAACTCATCTCCAGTTTTTACACACTCACTGAGTATTTTTAACTCTGCTGCCGCTTGTATATTTTACGTTTCGTCTAGCATTATTAAGGATATTCCAGAAGAACTGAAGCTGTGCATGGAAATGTCTGTCATTGTTTTCCCTGTGGACACCTGTCAGCCCAAGGCTGAGCCTGATTCTGGGTCTGTAATAGGCTGTTGAATACAGCAGGTTTAACCGTAATATATACTAGTTAGGGATGTTCATGTTAACCGTTAACCGACTGTAAGAATTTTGACCGATTAACACAATCAGTTAAACAGTTTAAAAAGAATTTTTTTTTTTTTTTTCAGTAATTTATCAAAATATAGAAAAAGTTTTGCTGCATGGTTAAAATACGCTACGCTTGTAAAAAAAAAAAATTTTAGAGAAAAAAAAACAAGTTGCGTATGTCACATTTTATTATTTCATTCAGAAATAGACGCGAAATTTTTACAAACATTATAATAAACACTCTAAACATAGCTAGGCTATTTTAGTTCCCCTCACTCCACAACAAATCCTTTCAATTAACAGTATTTAGAAAATAACAAGAATTAAAAATATAAGAGAAGCTATAGCTATATAAACGACAAGCCAAAACGAATTCATTTAGGCTAAAACGAATCTGAAACCAATGTTGGGTCTCTCATTTGACACAAAATCAAATGCTTCCGTATTCGAGATGTATTTGAATGCCAAATTATTATTTATTATGTACTTCACTCACGTTCCAATGTCCACGTAAAACAAAATGTTTTGCATAACATCACGGCAGTACGGTGACAACACTTAACGGCACAGATTTTACTACATACTTAAACTGAGCAGTGTGTTTTTTTCCATATGTTTGACTGACTGTATTTTATTATGATAATGAACAGGCTGCATTGTCAAGCTAGCAAAGCTTAACTTTGTGTGCGCATCCGGCGCAATCACTTGAATTTTTTCCTTCTAACAGTGGAAGCAACTACTCCTTTTAGTCATAAAGATAATCAGAATTGTAAAAGGTTTGCCTTTATTTGTGTACATTCACAATAAATACAACTCTTTGTGCTTTTGTAAAATAAGCCTAAAGAAAAATAGGATGCCGTTTTCGGCCGTCTGGTTTCCTTTTGCGCAGCACAAAAATGAACCGAAACTCTGCATACTAGGCTACTTGTTGCACAGTTTTTCTTTCGTTTTCTTAATTTATTATTTAAGTAAAAATATATTTCTCGTATAGGCCTATTTATTGGTTATATATATAGCCTAGCTTTATTATGTTTTTCTCCGCTCGCATAAGCACTGCAGGTGTGTGATGTGATGCATGTGAATCCTCATGTTCTGTTGTTTACTGCTTTTTGCGCA